TGTGAGATAATATATTTTGGTCCTTGGGCCTAGTCACCAAGATTTTTTTTTTATTTGCTATGCATGCGACCAGTAGCATTTATGTTCATATTTTGTTTTGTGAAGAGTTTTAAGTCTGAATGATTTATTTAGAATTTAGAATCTGTGTACCTTGTTCTTTCACCACCTACTTTGTGTTTATGCAAAACTTCATTTTAAGGAGGATGTACTTGTCACAGAGAATTTTATTTCAACATCCTTTTAGTTGTTTGTCAATCTCTGTTGATATTTCAATAAAAATTAAAATCAATGTTGTTAAGATCATCGGGGGGACTAATTAGAGGCTACTTTGGCAGTGTGAATTTTAACAATTCACAGTTAAAATGCCAAGATTCCTGGGTTATTAATTGTAAATACATGTTCAGTTTCCTCACACTGTCAAGTTAAGTAACCCCTCCCTGTGAGGCCTCTGTTTTTTCTTGAAGTCATTCTACAATATTACCATTGCTTGTCAGTGCTATGCAATTAGTCTCAATTTATGCCATGGGTGGATTTCAAAGTCATATAAACAGCATTTGAGTTGCAAGTTATTTCTGCTTACCGTATCTTCCACAGTAGCTGCAGTTAGTCCCAAATGGCTAGTGAAAGAAAAAGTGTACTGCTGGTCTATTTTGCCCAGGCTGGCTGAGAGTTATGACAGAAGAAAAGATGGTATCCTACCTAATGGTAGCACATATGTTATCAGCTGTGTGCCAATTGTGGTGATAACCACTTACTTAGATTGCTCTGGGTACCTACAGAGGCAACCTTGTTCTTATTTATTGTCCTATTAATAAGTGGAATGTGCATTTCCTAAAAGAGTGATGAAATATCTATATATGTCTATAACTGTACTCCTCTCTGGATGGCATCAACTCCTTCTCTGGAATATGGCATGTGATTTTCTCCTTTAGAAGTAGTGGAAATGGTGGTAGAGGAGCAAATACATGGGTGGGTTAGCACAGAGAGATACCAGCCACCTCAGCAATTAAATTCTGAGCAGCAGGATCCATGGTCAACCGCCTTGATAGGCCAGCAATCATGGCCCTAAATGATCAATTAATGACCACTTAAAGACCTCAGCCTCCAGTGCCATGATTACCTATCTTGCCGACTGCTGTGGAAAATGGCTGCCTTCCTAACTGGGAAAACAGCCTCCCTGGTTGCTAGGTTTGGGGCAATAAGTCTCCATTTGTCCCAATTTGGGAATTGGAGGCATGCGTGGGGATTGAGGAGGGGGTGCAGGAGCATGGTTGCTGAAAGACCCTGATCTTCCCACTGATTCCTCTGGGTCTCTGACATTCCTGCAGATCTCAGGGACGCCACTCTCACATTGGTTGGCAGCTTTAGGCAGGGGAGGGGGGCGTTACTTCTCCAATCTGGGACCTGATATGTTTCCACTCAAGACTTCGGTACCAAATTAGAACTTCATCTCACTGGTGGGGCAGGAGGATCCATCAGCCTTCAAGATACCCAATTTTACACAGAACAAAGAAAAGAAAATCCCATCCATAGTGTCAGACAGTTGTCACTCTGTACTTCACACAAGCTACTTATTCAATTACTCACCTTAATGGTGAGTGCTGCCAGGCTCTCCTACACAGGAGCATCACAACTAAGGCCATTTTTTGTTCTTGCTTAAAGCATTCAATGAGCTGCTTGTTCATACTAAGAATCTCTAACTTATCCATCCTTGAACCAGGATGTTGCAACTCGTGCATAAACAAATGACCAATCTTGGAGGTGTTACAGGTTGTATGGCTGGGACATAACCATGGATAACATACCATGGCCTTGGCCCACCCAAATTTCAGCTTGAATGAAAGTGAAACTTTAAATGCACTTGTAATCAGAATGTTTTTAGCATCAATGGACATAGCTGCATGATGATCAAAGCTACTCTGCTGGATCTGGGGAAATAATGTTGATGACCAGCTGCTTCATTCTTATTATTTAAAGCCTGTCCACTTGGTGAGAGTGGTCATGTGATTGCTGTGATAGAGGAACTGAAGCACTGATTCTGTTCTGAAGAAAGGTCACTGGACCCGAAACATTCGCTCTGTTTTCTCTCCGCAGATGCTGCCAGACCTCTGAGTTTTTCCAGCAAATTCTGATTTTCAGATTTCCAGCATCCGCCGTTCTTTGTTTCTGTTTAGCTCTGATTTAAAAACTGCCTGTCAGTCATCCATCCATCCATGTGGGAATGCAACTGACAGTTATAGTGCAGTTGGGAGTACATTGAGTGGGTTAGTGGCACAAAGTAGAATGGGATAACACTGACCATGTCCCATGAAAGAAAAAATAAATCTGGCAATGGCCATCAACCAATTTATTTCCACCCATCCCAACCAGCAATAGAAGCTTTTTGAATGTTCTACGGCAATAATTAATTGGAGGACTTGCACAATCAGAGCATAACACATCTGCTCTATACCACTGCTATATCATTTGATTATGCACTTGACACAGTTGTTTAGCCGTTAGTGGGGTCCATTATAACTTGCTGAAGAGATTCACCTGGTGTTATCTTCTTTGGATCAGATTGTTGACAAAAGGATGAAGTCCCACTGTATGAGTTGATGCACGATACAGGATGATAAAACAGAACTTAGCTAGTAATGTTTCATGTTTCTGTTTAAGGTGGATGCTAAAAGATTTTATAGCACTGTCCAAAGAGGAAGAGGTTGTTTTCCTGATGTACTGGTTACGGCTCCTTTCTCAAGCCCAAAAACAGATTAATTGGTCACTTGTCATATTTTTTGTAGGATCTTGCCATGTATAAAATAACACATGCTTACAGAATAAAAGCAATGACTACATTTCTCGGCAATTTGTTGTAGGGAAAAAAATGATAAATATATCTTTCTGACATAGGGTGCTATGAAATTTATTTAAAATATTTATCAATATTAACATTGTAGAAAAATGAAAAATAATTACAAAGAAGTAAAAGTGACTAACTATTTTTGTGGACTTCCTTTCTGTAAACTCACTAAAATTTTTGGTGGAGTCCTATTTGCTCAAGAAGTGTTTACTAGGCCATGTGTCATGAAGGAACAGAACCATGTCACTTTTGTTGCAGTGTTGTTATATGTATTGTGATGTATTTCAATCAAACTTTTGAATATTGATTGTTCTGTAAATACATTTAAGACCTGGTAAGGAGTGGTAATTTGGCTCCCCTCTTTTTAATCTCTCACTCAGTCAAGTGCAGAAAATGTTTTTATTCTTTTAAGCCTACAGCTATCATACTTCAATTTAAATGGAATACTAATTCAAATTAAGGATCCACTTAAAAGGTTTTATGGAGAGAAAGAAAGAGAAATTTTGTTATTTCCTAACCCTGAAAATCAACATAAATAGCAACATCAAATACATATACACAAGCACAGGTGATAAGCTTTAAGAGCACAAACTGTCTACTGCAGAAAAGAAGTGTAAAGGTTATGAAGTTTAAGAGTCCTTAGAGCATTTGAGGTGTTAGATTTTTAATCCAGGATCACAATTGTTTAATTGTTGACCCATATCCTCAGCAAAATCTGTTGGTGGGAGGGTTTGAGGTTTGAGCAAAAATATTTTCACCCAAGTTTGTGAGGATCTGCAACTCACTACCTAAAAGGGTGGTAGAGGCAGGAGCCCTCAAGATAATTAAGAACTATTTAGATGAACACTTGAAACACCATAGCAGACAAGGCTATGCACCAACTGCTGGAAAATGGGATTAGAATAGGTGAATGTTTAACTGGCATGGACAAGATGGCCTGAAGGACCTCCTTCCATGCTGTTAAAAACTGTATGACCTCTGTTCAGAAATTGGCATTTGCATCTTCTTTAAAACATATCCTGTAGAATAGTTTTCCTTGGTCAGAATATTGTGATTAATGTAAAAGCTTGTCAAGAGTAAGGTCATATCATTTGCCTTATTGATGACACTGAGTATACAGTTCTTAACCAAATGACAATGAACCCATCAATCCCAAGATTAAGAAGAGACTTGAGCTTTCTGCCTCTAGGAGTGTAAAAATCAACCAGTTACTCATTCCAATTGCTCTACTGCGCGCTGGTGGCTGAGAGTGAACTCTACAAAAATCTGGCAAATCTGTTCTGAGAATTATGCATGAGTTCACTGACTGCTGTTTCTGAAATGCGACAATATTGCATAAATCATGATTGATAAAGTTTTCAATGAATAATACTCTAGTTTCACATAAAACATTACATTTGTACTCATAATATGGGTTTGTTCTTTTTTAATGTATACTATTAGAACAAATATAGTAAACATGTGAAATTAGGGTGTATGTGTACAGTGGAACTTTAGCAGGCTGCTTCCTTTGCTTCAACAGAGAGGAAGTATGACGGTTATTGCCACACATGTGGCACCAAGTATGAGTACAGAGTTGTTTTGAATGATTGTATGCATCTGATGATGACTTGTTGGAAAGCTATATCATGTACTTTTGAATACATTCCTTATATTCCTGTGGAAAAGATTTAGCATCATATTGACTGGAAACTGTGTAGGTTAAACAATATGTAATGATGACTTATTTTACATAAATTAAAACATTGTTAATTGTAAACAATAATATGAATTAAATGATTTGAGGATTGTGATCGTTAGTATTGGAGCTTCATCCTAGGAACTCTGAAAGTACAATAACCTAATTTATTTATCATTTCTTCCACTGTAAAGATACAAGGATGGGGTACATTCCATTCAAAACATCTGCTAATGTTTACTGTTTAATATTACATAATGTTTTAATCCTGACTTACTAATGATATTTTATACCTTTAACCTTTGTAGGACGAACTTGTGAATATAAATGAATACGAATGTTACATTTCATAACTGAATACAATGCTCCAAAGATGTGTAGATTTACTGCAATGAAAATATTTTAAGTCATGTATTTACATGAAATAAGGGTGTTTGATATAGATTTATACATTAAAAGAATTTTTCTTTTTAATTGAAGAATAAAATTGTGGAGAAGGGAGGCATCAATCAAAAAGACACCATGCTGTCTGCGACGCCCCTGTATGGCAACCTTCACAGCTGGATGAGTACTGATCGGGTCCGCATGTGTGGAATTAATGAAGATGGGTAAGATGAGTTCCATTTTTCCATAACTCTAAGTAAAACTACTTTTTGGCCTGCATTTTGCATTGTAATGATCGTTAATCTGTCCACATTTGCTGTCATTACTTTGTGGAATTGACAGCACCTTCTGGTGTCCATACATGTGCAGCTTAAATAAAGAAATGTAGATGTAACTCTATGGTCCCATGCTTATCCACAGAGTGTGCAGTTGAAATCCATGTCGATGGAAATCAATCAAAAATCACTAAATTTGTGTGATGTTTTGCTTCTTACGCTATTATTATTCTCATTGCAAAAGCCTCAAACAGGTTCGCTAGGGCTCATGAAGTGTAAGTTGTCCATTAACTGCACATAGTTCTGGCTAAGCAAATTTCTGACCCTGAAAAATGAACTGTATTTGTGGATTGCCAATCTCCACATTCCATGCTAAAAATTTAAAAGATTTAAATTTTTATTTTAAAAGTTTGATATTTCAGCATTTACCTTAATTCCATGTTTTTGGTAATCCACCAAAACCTTCTCGAGGGCAATTAGGGATTGGCAATAAAAGTTAACAAGATGCACCCCACAAATGAATAAAGCAAATGTTCCATTCCTTCCGCTTTCAATAACATTATGAAAATGCCAATAGAACCTGCATATAACTTCCTGGTTTGCTGCTTAAAAATTCTTGAGTGTGGTTGACTGCATAACCTGTTTGAGGAAATCATTGTTATTTGATGTCAGAGATCCTTGTGGCTACAGCCAGATGAAATGAACACTGGGAAAAGTGAAATCCGTGCTGCAGAACATGTTAGATCTTTGTGGGAAGTTTACTTCAAGGTCAGCAATGTGTGCCATTACTTTGCTGCTGACTGCTAAGCCTTGGCCATTAAGACAGGGACTCATCAGCGGCAAGTTCTTGTTATCAAAGAAAGATGTAGTTATTGTTATTACCACAAAGCTCCCACAACAATTGCTATAACTGCAATTCCTACACACACAGAATAGATTCTGTTTACTTACATGAAATGGAAGAGTATTAACTAAATTTCATGCTTAGACATCTTGATTTATAGTGTGGGGTTTCAAGATTAGCTTCCTCTTTAAACCTGAATTAATAACATTTCTAAAAATCATTTTATTTAGTAGTTTGTTTCAATGAAACAACAACTGCTTGTGAATGAGGAGCAAAGTTTCAGAAAAGAATCTGCAGAAATTTGGCATTGTTTCTTTGCATTCAGCTGATTTACATGCTGGTTATCTGATATTGAAGAATTTGTCTTCAATGCAGACAAATAGTGCAAAAGGGTCAGGCAAAGTTCTAAGATGATAAGAGATTCTAACTTAACAAACATAATTTATTTCAATCTCATTAAGTATTGATGGAATCTGTAAGAGGTTTACATTTTGCTTGACAACATATCTATGAGATTTTGATTGTAATCACCTAGCATGTAATTTGTGGAGCTAGTTTGGCACAGTCTAGTTTAGATATACCCTGAAATTACAACGTGCTACTGGTGGACAAATGCTGTTGGGTCTGTGTAAAATTTTTCACCATTATTTGATGTATGATGGAAATTGCAATTGTAGTGTTAAATAAATTAAACATCTGAAAATGAAATGCAATTATACTTACGGTGCAAACAGTTAGCCATATGCTTTCAAGTGTGATCTGGTTTGTTCTATTTGTGCCAAAATTGTTTGCATAGATGGGTAGGACCTGCCCGGTCTCTAAACCAAACTGATCCGGACATGAGCAGTAGGGACTATGTATTACCAACATGCAGAGTAATATATGTAGCATGTGGTTTCTATACTATTGTTTATATTTTTAATTGCTAACACCCTTTTGTCAGTTTTTGATAAATAAATGGATTGTTACTGCATTTGGTTATTTGATTCTTACTTTTTTCAACATTTCTTATCTGTCCAACTTCATTGTTCAACTTGCAAAAACAATAGAATATTGCCTTTATCTCACCAGAAATATCACTCTGGACAGATGTCCTATTTGTCACCAAATATACCACCCACTAACAACCACCCCAACTCCCACATCCACCCACTCCACCATGCCACCGTACTAACTTTGTACCTATCCCAGCTGGCTCAGGAATATTTAAACTATGGGGCCTTTGTCTAAATTATCAACTGTCTGATCAGATTCACAAAGTGATGCATCAAATCAATGAACAAATCTGATACAACAAGCTTCAGTGTTTGTTGCTGACTACCTGGCTTCTGAATGCATTTTATTAGAGGAGCTAGTACTCCAACAGTACATATTACTGATACTGTCATGAATATTTCTTTCTTGAAGATTTACTGCATGAAATAAAAACAATTAGCATAATGGTGCCACCAGTGTTTTTCAGTCTGAGAAGTATGATATGCCGATTGTGGATGTTACTAGTATTTAACAAAGTATGGGATTCGTTGGCCCTGGGCAATATCTGTTTCATGTGTCAGCACGTAGAATATTCACCTTAAATGTATTTCGAAGTGGTTATCTGGAACAGTAAGCGTGTTTTTTCAAAGTGTTTATTTTCTTGTCAAAATAAGTGGATAACACATTTGTATTTTGCTTCTAGTTGGCTTGAAGGGATAGGGCCTCAAAAATTAGCTACCATTATTTGTACTAATTACGTATGTTGTAATTGGAAGTTGAATATAAAAAGTAAAGTAGTCATAGTCCTAGCAGACCGTAGGCACATTCTTTCATGAGAGAGAGTCAATTGGTTTAAGCTGAGGGTTGCTACACTTCAGGTGAGGGAAGAGGTTGAGAAGGAGAGTCCTTCATGGTAATCTCAGCCGCTGTGGGAATTGAACATGCTGCATTGGAGTTGCATTGCTTTACAGCTGTAATATGAGGGATTAAATTAGTTTGGTTACTGCATATGTGACTTTGTTCTTTGAAATACAACTTTCGTTTCCCAACTATCAGACCGTATCCTCTTGTTTCTCTGACGTCTCTATTACTTCTCGTTTTCTTTAAGAAAGTTATTACTTTGTTACTGTCTTGAGTTCTTGCTATTGCTTGCCTCAAATCTGCTTCCTGCAGATAAAAAAGAACCAAGAGTATGACCCAGATCAAGTACAGAAATCACAGAAAATGTGACATATGATGGTCTTTGCTGAAGTTGCTGTGGCCAATTAGGTGAACCCCTGAAGAAATTTCCTCAGTAAGGTAGAAACAAGATGTTGGCCTGACCCCTAAGGGTTTAGGTTATTTTAAAGGCATAGTGTCTTAGATGGCTTTTCCCTTGGAGAATGATTGCTTGTTATATGCTGTTTGTATTAAAAGATTGAACTTTTTTGCAATAATATGAAATACCTTATAAGTATTCAAACACTGTAGGGAAGATGAAACTATATGCTTAACATCCGATTGGAGAAATACTTATTGAAGTGGAAAAGTGCTGTTGGAATCCTAAGATAATTTCTAAACCCTGTGCAATTTGCTGTGTGAGTGCATCTGCATGTGTGTGTGTGCAGCTTAAGATTCATTTGGAGAAGTAGTCATAATCATGGTAGACCTTTGTTTTAAAAGTAGCCAACAGTTATGAAATGTAATAGTCAATTAAACAGTGATATGTAGAACAAGATAGAAAACACTATTAACTTTGAATTTATTTCACAGCAGGAAAGTCTCTGTAAGCGATGGTGAAACACAGAAAAGCATGAAGCGGTTTGGGATCAGGGATGACAATCACATGACCCACAACTTGGGTGTGGTAAGCTTACATAATGTCATTCTCATTACACTTTCATTGTAAATCCCTCATATTAACAATGCTATCGTAATCCAGTCTGAATGAATAATTTAACCAATAAGTTAATCATTTAGTTCTATACTAATTGAGAATTCCAAAAGACGAGCATTCACTTTTGAGAGGGGAAAGATTTAAAAAGGACATGAGGAGTACCTTTTTCACGCAGAGGTGTATGATACAAGCTGCCAGAGGAAGTGGTCGAGGCAGGTACAATTACAACATTTAAAAGGCATCTGCATAGGTATATGAATAAGAAGGGTTCAGGCGAAAAGGCTCCAAATGCTGGCAAATGGTAAGAGGTCAGATTAGGATATCTGGTCGGCGCAGACGAGTTGGACCGAAGGGTCTGTTTCCATGCTGTATGACCTCATGACCTTTGCTTATGGGAAACATGTGATCAGCATTTTGAAAGGTTAAATTATAGAACTTACTGAATGATGGTATCAAACAAATGCCTAATTGACTAGTATCACATTTCTCTCTCTACTATTTTAATGGAGGAGATAACTTATTTATTTAATAGGTTAATGCCTCTGTTAAAATGAGACAAAAAAATGATAGAATACATTAAGCAGTAGCTTTGAAGTTTAAGCTGTTTTCTCTTGAGAAATACACATTTCTATGAACATTAAAATATACTTTCAAGCTCCCTTATTTCTACCACTACTTGAAGTATGCAAAATGTTGTGATGTGAACAGCTACATGTGGTATTTAGCAAAACAAATTGGGAAAATTGCATTTGACACTAACATTGTAGTAAGAATTCGGCATTATTATTTCAGTGCAATAAGATCAAAGAGGACAACTAAAATTAACTACTGAAATATTTGGAATAAAGTTCTATATATTTTTTGCTACATTTTTCAATTAATCAATCTTTACCTGGCCACAGCAAAAATAAAATGTCTGGTATGTATTAATTAGTTTCTCAATGTTTAGAACATCTGACTTTTTTAGATCTTTTCATTTTTAATCTTCGTTACTCAAATCAAAGATTTGAAGTTTGTGTTGGCAGTATGTTAGTTTAGGTTTAAGTGGCTTTTGATTCCACGAGGAGCCATTTTTTCAAAAACTTGGCTTGTTAATTACCAGCTAAGGCCTTGTTAGAAACTAATTTACAGAGCAATACATGGAAATCTTTGGCATGGGTTGTTTAAGGAAGTTCAATTATTTAGCCACTAAATCAGTGTCACAAAATGCTGAAGATGACCAAGATATTCTCGACTTCTGCCTTATGACTGACCCTGATTTATCATTTGGTGTTCTCCTAACGCTGATCTATCTCCTCAGGTCAGCTGACACACTGAAAAAAGTGGTATGGCAATGATTGAAGATAAGTGCAGCTCATGTTGTGTGTATGGACTTTCAAGAAGCAGTTGGTAAAGTGCCACGCAGTCCATTTGTTAGTAAAATTGAAGCTCTTGGGACTAAAGGAGCAATGGCAGATGAACAAAACTCATTGGCAAATGAAAAAGATAGCAACAGACTTTAGGAGGTAATTGGCAGATTGGTGAAGTGGGCCGACACATGGCAAATGTAACAATGCAGAGAAGTGACAGGAGATGCATTTTGGAAGGAAGAATGGAATGGGAACAGAGAGGCCTGGGAATATGCATTCGCACATTTTTAAAGATGACCAGGTACGTTCAGAAGGTCATTAACTTTTAAAACAGGCATCGGAGTGAAAAAATAAGGAGGTTATCTAAACTTTTATACAGTGCTGGTTAAGTCCAGCTGGAGTATTTTGTGCAGTTCTTGACAGTAAGCTTCAGGAAGAATATGAAGACCTTGGAGGGTGTTAAAGTAAATTTACTAAACTGGTAACAGGGATGAGGGCCTTCAGTTACGTGGAGAGACAAGAGAAATTAGCATGTTCTCTTTAGAGCACATTAAGCTAAGGGAAGAGTTAACAGAGATGTTCAAAATTATGAAGCGCTTCAATTAGAGTAAAAAGATAAACTTTCTAATGGCAGAACAATCTGTAACAAAAGGAAAGAGATTTACGGCAATGACAAAAGAACTAGAGGAGCTACGTGGACATTTTTTACACGATGAGTGGTAGGAAACAGAAATGTACTGCCTGAAAGAATGGTAGAAGCATATTTCTGGAGGGAAGTGCATGCATACTTACAGGGAAGTTAGTTTCTGAACAACAGCAATGGGTTAGATCTTTGAGTTACCACAGACATAATGGTCTTATAGATCATAATGGGTCCAGGTGAAAGCTGTTCTTTTCTAAAGGGTGTTAGTGAATCAGGTTGATTTTTGTGATGATCCAACTGATCAAGTTACTTTCTTTTACAGATTTCAGTTTTTTTTAATTACAGATTTATTTATCTTTTTAAAGAACTAATTCAATAGCACAAACTTTCTTGGTGAGATTTGAACTTAAGCTTTTCTGTATCTTCAGTCAACTCTTCTGAATAGTCACCATTAATGTTCCTGGTTTGAAATTTATTTTCCTGCCTTGGTCTGTGAAATAACAAGGTGTGGAGCTGGATGAACACAGCAGGCCAGGCAGCAACAGAGGAACAGGAAAGCTGACGTTTTGGGTCTGGACCCTTCTTCAGAAAATTTTCTG